AAGCTGCTTTAAGAAAAAAATATGCGTTGTTCAAAGTGATATGTCCGAATAAACAGGAATTTACTGGATTTCTTGTTAAAACTTTATTCTCAGTTCTGACTCCAATCAGGTTCACAGTACAGCACTGAGCAGGCCTCAGTGTCAGACCTTGGGCTGAAAACCCAAACAAAACAGAGAAGCCCTGCTCTAAGCAGAGACTCTGCAACACACTGATAACTTCTTTTACTGTAATAATGAATTGACCTTATAATGTATTTCTCTGTTACAACCCTGGAGGTGTTACCTTATGCATCAGATGTAGAACGTAACTCGTTTTTGTTTAGGCTAAAAGAAAGAACATGATAAGACACACACCACTTATTCTGTTACGGCCTTAAAGGCTGCAATGATCAGAAAGTATAAAATATAATACTGCATCTAATATTCAATTAATGAGTTACAAAATTTCCTTCATTGCTGTAAATAACTGAATGAGAAAATAAAATGACAGTTTATAGAACAGTGGTTTACATGTTTATTGAATTGTTTTTACCTACAAGATTTGAGAAAAATGTACTAAAGAAAACTCTCAAGGTTGTCAAACTCAGTGACAAGAAGGGCCAAAATTCAAAACTTGGTTTGAGCCAATGGCCAATCTGTCAAAATGTTTTGGAAAAAAATATATCTTGGTTTTAGATGTTATAGAATAAATTATTCTGATAGAAATACAAATTACCTTTTCCAAATAATATTTTTATGCCGTATTTAAAACTTAACTTAACAAAGAAAGATTTTATTTAGAAAGAGTCATCATCAAAGCATGTTTTTATGCCTTAAATTCTATTAACATTTTTTCCATTTATTATTTCTTTGAGATACATTTTATCATCAGTTTAAAAGAAAGTCAATAAAAATCCAAATATTTGAATTTAAAATAAGAAGAAAACACAGAAAAATAATTCAAGTTGGCTGCTGTCATGAGAGGACTACAGTGACACAAAGAGAAATGATACAATGCTACCYTTGGGGCCAAATAAAATGCTAATAATGGCCAGAGTTGGCCTGCTTGACACTTGTGCTGTAGACTGATAGCAATTTTTCATCAGTGTTTTTGTTTCCACATTGTGTACCACTATGTACCATACATGTTTAATATTTTATTAATAATAATATTTTAATGCAACCTCAGTAGAAGAGAAAAGTGAAGAGGGACTTTCAGATTTTTCAGATTCCTCTCTGACTAAACAGTGGTTAGATGTCCTCAGGTAAATAATAAATGTTTGTTCCTTAAGTTGATATATATATATATGTATGTATGTATGTATGTATGTATGTATGTATGTATGTATGTATGTATGTATATATATACATATATACACACTGCGTAATAGTAAATATATATAAGTATTATTGTTAATTGACTCGTTACTGAAAGAGGCATTTTACTAACATCTAATCATTTGAAAATATTTAGGACAGGTTGTGTTTAAATTAAATGTCTCATTTACATTTTAGGGCCTACTGGTTGCTATCTTGTACTGCTTTGTCAACAAAGAGGTGAGTTTGTTTTGCCTTTATGTCAAACGTAAATTTTAATCTGTTACAGTTTGATTTTTTTCATGCTTTGTAGTGAGGATGCATTTTTGCATTTAAGTTCTTTTTGTAAACATTTGCTGTTTCCTTTCAATCTCTGTGAGCTCTATTTCCCATTTGGATCTTGTACAAACAGTCATAGTCATCTGTGAGTCTAAACTCTTACATGCAGGCATTAGCAACACTCATCTTTTTATTAAAGTGTATTACAATACAGGCATGCTTTTTGTTCATCACTGTAGGGGTATTAAACACTAAAATTAAACATAAACTCTGTATGAAATGTTTAATTTCACCTTATGGGGGCACCACTGAAGTTTTTGTAGTAAAACTTCAGAAAAACTTATCTCTTAATATTCAATCTCTAATTATGAAGGTGTTTAATTCTTTCAGTTTAATGACGACGTGAGACAAGAAAATAAACAGACGGAAACAAATCACATTTGGAAATTCATCCGTGTATTATTTAAAATGAGGTTCAGAGGGAAATAAATGCATTGCAAGTTATTTTTCAGACAAAAACACACTTTATAATCAGTTCCYTAAACTTGATCAAGAAGTGACATAATTAGTCTAACATGGCTGCCATGTGAACAACTTTCTACACATATTTCAGTGAAACACTAACTCGCTATTTCTAAGCAGACCAACGAGAACTTTCCTAAGCCTACAGCAAACCAAGATGGAGCTCATGGGAAGAAGAGTGAACATTGATATCTACTCTGAWCTGATCTAAGTCACCTGAACACACCATCAGATTAATTAAGCAAGATATTTCCTACCGGCAACGTTTGTAGATGCCAGAATGGATACTTCTATGCTAATTGGGCTGCCACATGAAGTCCAACCGAGTCTGCAACTTAGCTGTGCAGAAGCTCCCTGGTCATCTGAATCACTGGGCTGCACTCACTGGAGATGTTATCCAGCGCATCGCAGCAGTTGCTTCCCTTGCGGGCACACTGGTGGTTGTCCGACTTGAATTAAATCAGCCTCATCGATTTCAGTCGATGTAAATCTACTTCCTGAGAAGCTCCTTCAGAACAAAACTACAAAAAGGAAATAAAGTTGGAAAAACGAATGGCCTTGCCCCGGGATGGGGGAAGCTGGAACTGAAAACTACTCTCTTCTCAAAAGCTTTCTAGAACTGAGCACATAGCAAAAACAATGAAAAACTCTTTGTGTGGAGTTTAAAACTCCCCATTGGTCCAAGATTTCTGCAGAGGGGTGGAGTTATGACTGTTGATCACAGTTCTACAGCACTTTGAATAAAAATCAATACCTTTGCCAATCTAACTGTGAGTGAATCAGACTTATAACACTGTCGTGATTATTGCAGTAATTAGATCAAATTACAGAGACACATTTCTTTTTTTCTTTTATACAATTATCACCAAAATGGCCAATTCCGTGATGAGTCATGGCGCATACTGTCTGTAGGGATCGCTGTTGAATCATGGGTGKATTTTCTGGAATTTTTCTGATGTTTTTGTCTTGTTTAGTGTATCCACGGGTTTCTTTGAAGTGTTCTGGCAAAATCCAACTTCTCAGTTCACTGTCCTTTGAAGTAAAGACAAATGTCTTCCAATCTGTTCACAGGGAGATAACAAACGGACCAGGCAGAGTCATAATGTCTGTCCCTTTGTTTTGTAAGATCAACGGTGAAAACAGTCAAATAGTGGATGTTAGAGTTAAAAGAAGGTTGTTCCCCATCGTTTATGCTACATCYCTATCATCTGTTTTCCTTTTGCTTTTCACCTATTCTCTCAGGTGCAGTCAGAGATGCTGAAAAAGTGGAAGCGGTGGAAGCTGGGGAAGGACATAGARGAGGAGTACCGCCAAACCCACAGCCACATGCCCCACATTAAGAGTGGCAGCATTGCCACTGCCAATCTGCCTGATCTCCATGACACCAGCGACCCAAGCAGTGACTCACCTTGCCTCAACAAACCTGTCTGCAGCCCATCCTGCTCTCCTGCACCCAAAGAGAGCCGCAGACTGGTAGTCTTATACAGTAATGGAACTGAGAAAGGCAGACCTACCAGGAACAGACACACCCTGCAGTTCTCTTTACAGCCTCAAAGAGGCAACAGCAGCACTGCAACAGAGGATATCTGTTTGGAGGAACGGGTCCAGTACCACTCATATGTGCAGGAAGGAGAGGAAACCATCATCTGAATGGCATCTTCATCCCAAGGCTCGTCAGTGATTTAGGATCAGCTTTAGCCACACGTTAACATAACAGCCAACTTCAGAAAACTGTGTTGACAAAAACACAACATTCACAGTTTCAAACTGCACATGTAAAAAAGGTTATTTATTTATTTGTTTGTCTTAAAACTTTGGGAATTATTTTATGAATATTGGAAAAAGCTTACTTGGTTTCCAAAGAAACCATGTCGGATCTGTGTATCATAAAAAGGATTAACAAATTCAACGCCAAACCTGTTCTGCTATCTCGTGAATTGCTTGAGTTGTGTGTCCATGTGCAGCAGTGGGTGCTTATTCATGGTACTCAGTGGTTTTATGAGACTGAATTGCAGCATGTATGTCTCATCATCTTTTGTTTTTGAAGCTTARGGGAACATCAGGACTAACATCATCTCCAGACAAATAAATTGTCCCACATAATGTTGAGAAAAAATGTTGACCCCTCTTCAACAACCACAATAAAGTCTACAAAAACACCAGCTTATTGTGCTTAAATAAATGTGATTTAAAATAACCATTGCCAAAAAATGTAAATGTTAATATATGACAGATTTTACATGATTTCTGTTTTCTATTAAATCAATTTCTTCAAGGCTTGCCTATCATTTTTCTACWAAAGTCATGCTTCTATCTATTTTTTAAAATTCTTTTAAAATGTGAATGATGGTAAACAAGTAAAATAAAATGTGTGTTATGATATAGTGGTCAATAATTTATAAAATATAAACTGTACTTGTACTTTATTCCAAATGTTGAATGTATGCTTTACTTTTCCATATTCCAAATTATAATTACATAAAAAATGCACTCCATAACAGTGGGGAAAATAAATGAAATTCTTTGGGTTAAGTCAATTTACATAAACCCGCATTTTTTCTTTATTATTGTTCAATTTTCTTTGTTTATTTTTGTTATTTAGTCATGACATTTACTACAAACTAGAGATGTCCCAATCAGAGTCTTTAGTCCCCAAAACCAATCCTGTTGGCCTGCATGGATGTTCTTTCCAGCACAGACAAGCAGACTACAAACCAAAAAGCATGACATATAAAGTTTTAATGCCAGCATGAGCTTACATCTCAGTAGTGGAAATCTGTATTCATGTAATTKCTCAGGAGTTTTTTTTTTCTCCACAAGGAAGAACACAATTTATTTACTTATTTATTTTTACTCTGGCATGCAGAGCATGTTATAAATATGAAGGGGGGGGGGTACAAACAACAACAGAGGCTAGAGACAAGTTCTGGTGGGCGGCCCTACATAAGGTGGAAGCCWGGTAGTTGTGTATTTGTTCCATTGGATGTGCTTCTCTCCACCCCTGCGGAGGGTAAACAATGACAGCCATGGCAGGAAGTAGCCTACACTCATCTTTTTTGCAAACATTTGATAAAAGTTGAGATGACAATAACTTTGTGATTTTTGATCCAGGTGTTTTAGTTATGTGATTTTTATGTGATAAAATTAGGTAACCTTTACACAACAGTACACAAATATACTGTACTACTGCTGCGAGCAGTACAGATAATGGTTCATTATCTATAACTCACATGTGCTCTGATCACTGAAGGTCTGAGAGATGAGCTGAAAGACGAACAAACAAAACATATTAAACATTTAAAAAATATGCATTTTCTACTGAAGCATATTGATGTCATGGGGGAAAATAAATTTCTGAACACTATCACATTTGTACAATATACTTATATTGTACAAACAAGATATTATATTATAAAAACATGGTAATTATATTGCACAAATGTGGTATTATATTGTAAAAATGTAATAATATTATTGTATAAACTTATTATTTATGTTGTACAAACATGATATTTATATTGGCTGTGTCTCAATTCTTGGGTTGCAGCTGACGTCGGCCGCATTTGTCGACTGCTTACATCACTGCCCCACATCGTAGGCTGTCCCAATTCATTGCCACCTACACATGCAGCCAACAAATGCAGCCGACAAAACCCAAAAAATATTGGCTGCTGCTGAGTCTATACGCGGCCGATGGTATCTCAAAATTCATTGCGCCCTCAGCAAATGAAACAGAAAAACAAAAACGGCAAAATTTTCCTTTTTTATGGGCAGATTAATTTTTTTATGAAAGAATTTGGAATTTTATCACGGACCGAAAACTGTAAGTTAAACAAATTAGCTGAAGAAACTTTTGTTGCAATGAGATGTTAAATAAAATGCAGTTACAAGTACTGATACTGGAACTAAACTCAAATTATCATTAGTTTTTTTTTATTTATTTACTTGTATAGAT